CATCAAATCATCATCGCTGCTGGAAGTTGTAGATTCGTTGCAAGAATCATTAGAGTAATTCCGAAAGGTAATTTTTTTGATACTACTCTCTTCATCATAGCTGTTAAAAGTTGAGTCTTCTTCAGATTCAAAATCATTTATAATATCATCTTCACAAAGGCTTATATCAGATTCACTATTGACATTATCTTGGCTGCTACTAGTTGTGTTGCTGTTGTAAAAGTTAATTGAATTATCGTCATCAAAACTTAAACGTGAATTACTATCAATATAATTGTTTTCGCTAGAAGTCGAAGCCTTACTGCTAGAATCATCACCTGAATCATCGTTTTCTGTCTCTAAAGTTACAGTTTTGCTGATGAAATCGTTATTATTCTCCTTAGAAACTGCCATCATTTTACTGCTAGATTCAACACTTGTATCATCGTCTTCACTCTTGCCGTCCTCATTTTGGCTACTATAATCTTTATTGGAGAAAGTCAATTTATTGCTAGATTTTTCGCTTGTATCATCGTCTTCACTCTTGTTATCCTCATCTTGGCTACTATAATCACTGGAGATTGTCATTTTATTGTTGGATTTAACAATTGAGTCGTCATCTTCACTCTTATCGTCGTCCTCATTTTGGCTACTATAATCTTTATTGGAGAATGTCATTTTATTGCTAGATTTTTCGCTTGTATCATCGAATTCACTCTTGTCATCGTCCTCATCTTGGCTGCTATACCCATTGTTGAGGATTGACATTTTATTGATAGGTTTGTCGCTTGTATCATCGTCGTCGTCCTCATTTTGGCTACTATAATCTTTATTGGAGAATGTCATTTTATTGCTAGATTTTTAACTTATTCCATAATTTACACTCTTGTCCTCGTCCTCTTCCTGGCTATTATCATCTTTGTTGGAGAAGGTCATATTATTGATATATTTGTCGTTTGTGTCATCGTCTTCACTCTTGTCGTCCTCGTCCTGGCTACTATAATCTTTATTGAAGAATGTCATTTTATTGCTAGATTCTTCGCTTGTATCATCGTCTTCATTCTTGTCATCGTCCTCATCTTGGCTGCTATACCCATTGTTGAGGATTGACATTTTATTGATAGGTTTGTCGCTTGTATCATCGTCGTCGACTTCATTTTGGCTACTATAATCTTTATTGGAAAATGTCATTTTATTGCTGGATTTTTAACTTATTCCATCATTTACACTCTTGTCGTCGTCCTCTTCCTGGCTATTATCATCTTTGTTGGAGATGGTCATATTATTGATATATTTGTCGTTTATGTCATCGTCTTCACTCTTGTCGTCGTCCTCGTCTTGGCTACTATCTTCTTCGTTAACCATTTCGTCATTAAAATATTGCATGTTATCATTCTCATCATCCTTATCCTTATCATTAATGATTGTCATTTTAGAATTCTCGTTTGAGTCATTGTCTTCGACTTTTTCTTCATTATCTTGGCTACTAACATTTTTGTTAAACATTTCGTTATTAATATATTGCATGTTCTTTTCCTCTTCCGTATCCGTAT